CCCCCCCGGCGCCCCGCGCGCTGCCTGTGGGGACAGCCTCCAACGGAGTGAGAGGGCAGCTCGCCGCCGTTCTGACTTCGATTCCTCGGATGGCTTCTCTGCAAAAATGTCATTTGAGGTCTTTGTCCATTTAGAAGGCCGAGTTTCATTCTGAAATGTGATACGTGCATTATTTCCTGGAGATTAAACCAGGCGGACACCACTCACCGAGGCCAACGCTGCTGTTCTCCAGCAAGTAGCTGAGGTGGTCGAACATGGCCTTCTGGTTCTGCCTGCTGATCCGGCAGAAGTAGCAGAGGAACCGGCAGCAGTTGGCCACCATCTTAGGGAAGGCGATTTCCTGTGGAGAGAGGCGGTCAGTCCTGAGGCGAGCACCCTGCGAGACCGAGTTCGGCGCAGAAGTCGGCTCTCTTGCACCCACATGCACCAAGCCTCGGACACCGGAGGCCCCGAAGGAGCAGGCGTGACTCGCCTCTTCCCGAGCCACTGCCCAAGGCCTCAGCACGGGCCATGCACTGGACCTCAACCGAACGCCGAGCTCACGGTGCAGCCTGGGCAGGGCCCGGCAGACCCCACTGTGCTTGCCTGCCGGGCGATCACGGGCCCACTCTGCCCCACAGACTTGGGTAGAAAGGAGCACAGGGCGCTCTAGGTGCGGGGTGGGCCTCTGAGACCCTCTGAAAGCACACTCAGCACCTGCCGCGATGCCAGGGCCTCTGGCCTCCCCGAGCTGCACATGACTGCCCCCGGCCAGTCGGCTGGCCCCACCGCTCTCCTCCTCCCAGGTCCAGCCCCGTCACTGTGCCTCAGACGCTCCTCAGGCGGCACAAGGCATCTCTACACGTCTGTCACTGGTAGACTATGCATGGGACTGACGCGCTTTTCCACGTCCTGAACCACGCGTGTCGACATTAAATCCTGCCCTCGGTAATTATGAAATCTTACTGACTAGTAGCAAGCTGCTCACTGAGTGACTCCACTAATCTGGCCCTCGAGAGCCTTATTGTACACGGCACCGAGCAGGTCACCTGGGAGTCTCACGGTATATTCCAGAGTGCCATGGTCGGAGACTGGCCTGGGCCCGAGACTGAGCGGGACCAGAACTAGGACGAGGGCTGGTATAAAGAACAGGTGTGTCGTGGGCTCACGACCTTGGGAACTGACGCCAATCCGAAATTTCCCAGTGGCCTCCTCCAGGACGGACGTCTCAGTGTAAAACGCCCACGTGCGGACGGCCAAGGCCAGTGTGTGCCCGCGATGCCAAGGAAGCAAGCTCGACCCAGCAGTCGACCAAAGCCGACTCGGGACGGGAGGACACCGTGCTGGCGACAGTTACCGTCACCCACGAGGGCGGAGACCAGCCGGCAGTAGTTCTACTGAGGGTGACGGTGTAATTGGCAGTTCTCTGAGAAACCCACATGGGAATGACGTAGGCGGACAGACCACCGCCTGGACCCTGGACCGACGGCAGGAGCAAGAGGGAGAGTGCGTGCGGCTGCGGGTGCCCTACAGGACTTAGAGACTCGGTGAGAACCGGCACCACAGCGCCCGACGGGGCGGCCTACCTTGGACTCGCCGCCCCCCAGCACGTTGACCATGACCTCCATCACCGTCTCGTGCATGCCGAGTGCCCGCATGAGGTTCGGGTGCTGGTAAAACACCTTGTTGTTCATGATGTCCCTGCAACGACAGACGGCGTGAGTGGGAGCACGGGCCCGAGCCGGCCGAGACCCAGGCGCCGTGAGAGGCCGGTGAAGCTTTCAGAAGCGACTGGCAGTCTGGGAGAGGGAGCCAGGGTTACTCTGCACAAGCCAACGGGTGCAGCTGAGGGCACTCCCTGCGGAGCACGGTGCCGGTGTCGGCGTCACGCCCGGACACGTAGCATAGCTCCTGCTTGTCAGCCACATTCTGGACACAGCGTCCCAACCTTATGGGCCTCCAGTATGCTCAGCTTTTTGGGTGAAATACCAGCCAGTGCCATGCCAGGTCCCACACCCATGCCCACAGAAGCACCCAGGCGAGGCTCCGCTGTCAGAAGCCACGACTCGGGCCCACGTTTGTATCTGCGCGGACGCCCACAGGGCCGCCTCGTCCTCTTACACCCACACCCTTGTCCTGGAGAAGAACTCTGAAGGGTCATGCTCCCCAAAAGAGAAGGGACCGAGTGGAATCAGGTCCATGGGACCTGGTTAAGGGACGTTCGGTGTGGAGGTGCGGCAGGGGGTGGCAACTGCATGTCCCGATGACACGCATGGCCGTGTTTCTGCACCGCGTGTGAGGTGTCTAAGGCCCGTCACGCCCAGCAGGCTGTCTCGCGCATCGGCAGTAAGGGACTGTTGGTTCCACTCCGACATAAATCATATCAGCTCTTCTCACCCGCGTGCGTGACAGATGCGCTCACCGTGCGCTGGTCACGAGCCGTGTTCCGCACCGGGCTGTCCCAAGAAAGTGGAGACTAATTTACTTTCTAGCGAGTAGAGGTTTTAGATAGTGCCGTGCGAGAGGACTGATGGGCCCGGGACAGCACAAGTGCTGTAAGGCCAACGGGGCGAGCACCGGCAGCCGCCCCCCAGGACCGCGGCCCGCACACACGACAGCCGGCCCCGTGAGGGCTGCCCCCTTATTTTCAGTCTTT